TGGTGGCGGGAAAACAAAAAGCATCAAATCCAGATCAGTTTTTCCTCCTCTTCACGATTCCTTTGATGAATTCTGCCAATTATTACATACAGTGTGTTATTTCAATATTTCGAATAAATGCCAATTTTTCCTGAAGTCGAACCTGGATTTTCACTTCGCCCGACAGGTGAATGAATTCAACGTCCCAAGTATACGCTCCATACCAAATTTAATAATGATAATAATGATATCGATTAGGAAAATAGTAAAAATGGAAAACAATATAGAAAATTTGTAATTTCATTATAAGTTTTGATAAAGAGTTTCTTGAAAAATTCATATTTGAAATATCTCGCCATAATATCATTGATAAATATATTCTTTGTATCTTCAGTTTTCACTTTTTTTTAAGCTTGTGTTTTTATTTTGGATTTTCACTTTAACCATTTTTTAGGATTGTTGTATTCAATTTTTTTTTCGTTTTTTTTGTTTTTTTGAAAAGAGGAACATAAATAGGAAGAGAAATATTGTGAAGAATAAGGAAAATTATATATATGTCAAAGTAAGAGGATGACGAATAGGAATAAAAATATTATGAAGGATAAGGAAACTTACGTCAAACCATGGTGTTGTTGGTATATTAAGGTGTCAACTTCGGGAGGTAATCTCAGAGGTAGGATCATTATCATAATGGATCGAAACACGTGGAAAAGATAAAATTGAATCAATATCAATTGAATTTGAACTTTTTTAGTTTATGTGAGATATATTTATTCTGATAATGATCACCATATTTCCATCATCACTATCATCATCGCTATCTGTATTTTCACTTTGCCAAGAGTCAAAATAAGGACGGTGAATATGACGTTTTTCTTTGTTACTTTCATCTACTTTTTCAACGATAACACCTGATGTACAGTCGTATTCAATAAAAAAGCGTACAACTATTAAACATATAAGATTTCGTAAAATTGGCTCAGCCAATGCTTTGTGAGAACCTATGATTACTCGACTATCAACATCTGGTAAACAGTCATTCCCGTTAGCCCGCTTTACGTAAATAGGATGACGTTAATTTCTCCCTCCAAAATATAATTGTACGCTTTTTTTTCGAATACGACTGTACCTCTTAGATCATGAACTGATCGTCTACCTATCGTTAAACTCGACAATTCCTGGTTGAAATTCGTCAGGAAAATTTTTAAAAGTTATGCCATCTCTAATGGAAGTGTGAATTCAATGTTTGTGTAGTGATGTTGAGGAAACATCAAAATTTGAAGTTGTTGTATCAGTGGTGATTTTTGTTGTGGTGAGTGAAGGAACAATAACAATATTTTGAATGACTCGTATACGATTCTCATCATGTTTCGGAACTGATGGTAATGCAGATGTTGGTTTCGTAGGTTTTATTATTGTTGTTGTTGTTGTTTTTAATGTTTCAGTTGTTGTTTCCTGATGGTTATTTGATGTTTGGTTGTGGTTGTTGTGTGTTATTTTAATTAGTAGTTACTATGGAAGAATAAACGATATTTCTTGTGAAATGTTTGTTGCTGTATTTGGAATGGCCTTGTTTCGATGAATTTTCAATACGAAATTTCAAAAACTGTCGATCAACTACGCGACTCAGAGCCACATAAATTGGTCCGTGAACAGAACATGGCATTTCTGAACATATCCTTTTTATAGGTTTGACCTTGCGATTTATTAATGGTTATCGCGAACGCTAGTCGAATCGGAAACTGATATCGATAAACAGTTCCAGGTGGATAGCTAACGCTGTCAGGAGCAGACAAACGCATCCGAGAAAGGAAAAAACATTGCCGCGATGAGCTTCAGTGCTATCCGTCAATATTTGCACTTGTAACATATTAACTCCCAAAGTAAGAATATGTAATCGAGTTTCATTACATGAGCCGCTCATAATGTCGACGTTATTATATAATAATAATGATAATAAGTTTATATGCAAGTTGAAAGAAGACATATTACAATACACATATATGGAAGTGAATATAACTAATAAATGAAGTGACCAACATTATTTATAAATTTCATGTGGTTTTCATAAAACTAGGAAGAATAACACAAGTAATATGAAATATTCTAAGCATTTTAGTGAAAAAATAAATGTGTGAGTAATGTGTAATAAGTAAACATATATTATCATTATTATTATTATTATTATATATCGTGGGCGTACAAGCAGAACCATATATGTCCATAAAAGGATATAAGGAGAAAACCGCAATTGAATGTTCGAATCAACCTGTAAAATTTGTTTCCAAGTATAATCGCTTTTGAACACTGAAGGAATGTTAGTATGCTATCTCTTGAGACACATAATTCAATCAAACGAACATAAAAAAAAAGAATATTTATTTCAGTTTCCTCACACCAAGTGTGTACTCAAGGTTTTTTTCCTGTTCCATTTATTAATCTTTATGGACTGAGTGTACTAATGGCAGTTCATCATCAGAGTAACTGATGTACTCTTCTTCGCTATCATCCACACATGGCTCAGCAGATCTATCTAGCGCATTTTTCGAGGTATTTAATGATTTATACCACCCATGGAATTCGATAGGAATTGATTCACTCCTGTATAATTTGAGAAGATATGATTTCTTCAGCTGCCTAGGACATGCTATTATTTTCAATACATATATTAATTAGAAAACCAAGATTTCAATTAACTGCATGCTTACCTGCACTGCCCTTGATGTTTTACACATATTTTCACTGATGTTTCCACATAACGAGTTTTCATTATTGTTCATAGGTTTTTCACAAGTGACACAAATTTTAATTATAACATGGCTCACTTGTTCATTGCAAGATTCATTGCAGGATAGAGAAACAATATTTTTTTCTCTGGAAGACATTAATTCACTAAGGATGAACTGTTACAATCCTACAACACGAAACAATAAACACCAAATGTGTCAAAATCGGTCAGTAGAAATTGAAATTCGTTTAAGTGCACTTGACCGATTCTGCATGTCAAAATTATAACGAAATTAGACTTGAGTGGATTTTCATTGACTATATCACCTGAAACAAACGTAAAATAGACTTGAATGTTTATTTGCCTGGAGCGTTACGCTAATATGGACTTATGTGCGATAAATTCCTCATTTTCGTGAAAAGTATTTTTAAATGGTTCTGCTTGTATGCCCACGATATGAGATACATGACAGGATATAAACAAACGGAAGAATGTCCCACAGGAACTCAGGGTTGTACGTCGGTGCTTTTCTCGTCCTTATTAATCATGTATACAGTTTTAAAGTTTCAGTTGTATTCAAAGTACAGTTTATCTTTGGTTGATGACCATTTGTATAAAGATTCTTTCTGTATCTTTAATATATTTTCTCGAATATTTTTTGAATAATGGTGTGGAACTGATAGTTCTGAATGTGTTTTTTTGCTCCTCAGGTAACTGATTGTCGATTCTTCTAGCAAGATAGTGGTGATTTCGTTGTCCAACAAACTTTTCTGATGTTTCCGCTTCCGTTTTTTGTCTTGTTTGATAGTTGTGATCGATCATATGAAGGATGTGCTCGTTTTTGTATAGGTCAATTAAAATGTGGTAATAAAATATTTGTTTAATATCGAGTATTCTAGCCTCGCTGAAAAGGATGTCCGTTGAATAAGTGCTTCCTTTCCTGAATATAATTTTTAAAATGTGTTTCTGGAGAATCTCAACTTATTCATATAAATATCGAGAGCTAAAATTCCATATTGAATTCTGGATTCTATGAATGCGTAATATAGGATTTTCATATGATGCGTGTCAAATATATTCTGCATAAATTTGAAATTATATAGCATAGTTCTCAGAGTATTTACATTATTTACGTTATAACATAACTACGCTACCTACTTTGAGAGTTGACTCGTGCGGTGGAAGTCCAGCTATGATGATGGAATGCAAATAATCTTCGGGTATATGAAAGTCACCTTGTTGTTGATGTGATTTTCCGTCAGCCAATTGTTCGAAACTGTCGACACTAAAATAAGTGCAACTGACAGATGTTAGTTTGGATATGACGGGAAAATCTACATCGTCAACGGCTCCGTTTGTTGGGCGAAGAATTGCTTTATTTGCAAGATTTTGTAAGGGAATGGAAGGATCAATAGGACCTGCACCGAAAATTTCTTCGACCATATGTTCGATGGATTGAACAACTAATCGAGATGGAATCTCAATTAGATCGTCGGGATTGAATGCAATGGCATTTTGATATGTGATGAGTCATCATTACCAATTCAAAGTAGAAATTGGGCAAAGTCTTGGATTTCCTTTTGACGACGAAGAAGACGGTTCTCATCAGCAACAGCTGTCGTAGTCAATATGTTGCTCACTCTCAAATTTGTTGACAAGACGACACTGACGCACCATCGGCCATAGATAGGATGATTTGATGCACGCTCTGATAATCTGGCCAGAATGTGCTCGAGGCATGACAGGTAGAAGCTAGATGAAAATGTTGCGTCAATTCATGTCCATGCTACCGCTAACACTAACTTAGGCAAGTCGTGCCTTACTTTACCGATAATGCAATTGTAGAGAAACATTCAGCCAGTGATAGTAGAGTATAAACGGGATCCTATCGTGCTATCCCGTGGGCACTTCGTTGCTAAAATGTAAAATCCATTTTTTATCATTCCTAAGACCTTTGCAATGCAAAATAACTTGGTCGTCCAAAAATCGTAGTTGGAGGGGAGTGGGCTATCCACGAACTCACTATGGATCACTCTCTAAGGAAATGTTTACCAGCCTTTCATGCCCTCACCGGTTGTGATACTACTAGCCAGTTCGCAACTCTGGGGAAGAAAACGTGTTGGAAGGTGTTTCTATCAAATTATAGTCTCCTGTCTAGAGTGATAAGCGAAGAATATTTGAGCAAAGAAGTTTTCGATGATATTGTTAAATTTGTGATTCTTCTTTATACTTATACTTAACAAGAACATCAAGTGTAATAATAACCTGAGAGGCATTTTGGCCACTACAAAACCTATCCATAAACTGCCTCCCACTTCAGACAGTCTGAAGCAACACTACCTTCGTGTGCACTTCCAGACAATGATATGGCTATGTAGTGCGACTCCAAGACCTTCTCTGCAGTATCCGTTGCTAAGTGGCTGGAGTGAAGAAAATGGTGAGCTGGTACCAGTTTTGAGCATGGAACCCATGTTGCCGAAAGATTCATATGTTCTTAATAGTTTTAAATGCAAAAAAGGTGAGTCCACTTTTACCTTTTTTGTGAAAAACAATTATGCTAGCTTCTTTCTAATTTTCAGACTGTACATCAGGGCCCCTTTTTTCGTGTAAAAGGAAACAGATCAAATGCATTGGTTATTGTAAATGTATGGCCCAGGTGAAATGTGGCAACAAAGGTGACATCCGTGAGAAAATTTCAATCGTAGAAGATGATACTGATGATGAGTCAGACTCAGAATGAATAATGTACTTATATAGAATTAGGTTAATACAAATACATAGGTTTAATTATCATTTTCATGAAAGGGCAAATCGATGCCATTTTAGATATCACAAGCTTTTGACGATACCACGTCCTCAGAAAGCTTTATAACAAGAATGACCGGATAGGAAAAGAATAAAAAATTATGATAAATCCCTCTCAAAGATACCTAGGTGAAATTCTTTTGAAACAATACTTATTATTATTATACCTACACAAATGCATTATATCACTTTAAACATACCATACTCTTGCAGAATAGTATGTGTTGATATTCTGAAAACAAAACATGACTCGAGCCACAAATCATCCTTGTAGTCGTGCCCAAAGAGTATTCAAATACCTATAAAATCGCCGTCACAAATAAAAGTCGACCATAGCAATCTCGCCCTTCCTCGCATCTCTGCGCTCGCCGCTGTTCGTCGCGACATGCCGTTCGATTTATCTCATTTTCTCGTGAACCAATTATCCAATCAAAATTCTAAAAGAACCAACATGTTCTCTGATGTTTGGTCTTTAACGTTTATAGAAAGCTTTTTTTGCTAGACCCAATACTTTTCGAGGTAGAGCGAGTTAAATGATTTTAAAAATATGGATGTTCAGGGCAAGCGGTTTTGTGTGAAGGCGCTCCATATACAACAATGCTGCGACGTATTTTTATAAATTGAAAAAAAAAATATTTCTGATATCCGGATGGGTATGCAAATATGAGGAATGAATTATCTCAAATCAGATCTGAAAATCGATGAGAAAAAAAATTGGCTTTTTAAAAAAAAAAAGGCTTCCCCACTCCCCTCCAACTACGATTTATGGACTTCCAAGTGATTTTGCATTTTAAAGGTCTTAGGAATGATAAAAAGAGATTGTATATTTTCATCAATAACTCGACTATTTAATAATTGTTCCAACATGACGTTCCTCAATCATCAATATTCCTATGGTGAATCGATCTCCACCTAGAGCACACCTACGAATGACATGATTCATATGAAATAATGCCATTCGTTCGGCAGTATTCATGTCAATGATACCGTGATCGGTAAAATCAGAACATAAATCGGCTTGGTGTCGAAGCCACATTGCCGAGATATTCTCAAAATCGCCTTCGTCAGTGATTATCAGACAAGCCAATAATCCGAACAATTGACAACTCATGAACGGATATCTCGTCAATATGGCTTCTCACAAAGTTCATATTTGTCGGTATCATTGAGGAGACCCAATGCACGACAAGCCGATTTAGGATCCTCGTAAACGACACCGTCTACTGACATCAGAGAACGGAAACTCGTACTTCCTCGTACATGTTGTAGCAACGTGCGCAAATAGAACTTGTACCAAGCATCCGATGACTCTGCAATTTTTTTTGCGACGTTGCCACATTTTTTTATTAAAATTCCAAGAATAATGTTCTTGATTCAACAATATTTCAACAATCTCGCAGCCGGATCGGAACGATTCAATATGAATATACTACTAATTTTATGGGATTATCAATTCTCTCCAAAAATTGCGCCTCTGTTTTATCGAGACGTGCGTCGAATATTACTTGCTGATCGCCTTCTTCGTGAATTAGTAGAACTTTTACCATGTGGGATCTATCGCTGATATTGTATTCGAATAATCGCCAACAGGCCTCTATTGAATCAACGTATCGGTGATCCTGATAATTCCCGATCTCATTCCAATCAACATCACGTTGACGGCCACAATGCAAATTGTCATTATCGTTCGCACCGATGGCGGTAAAAGTACCCATAACGGCATTCTCTTCTTGAAGGGGCAAGGTATCATCTTATGCAGCATGCTGTACAGATATAAAGTCAGGTACTGTCTCTACATACACACAATACCTTATCGACTTCAAACTTCCACACAGTTCGACGTTCAAATGGCAATCGTATTTGATCGACAATAATTTGTTGTATGGAATGACATCGCTATTATCGATTAGATGTCCACCCATAACTGATACCCATCCATCATCGGGCCGCTTATACTCGGGTTGTCCGAGACGATTCTGGTTGCCCCGTATGTTTGTTGTCGTCCGAAATTCTTTCGGGTAAAATTTCTTGCAATGCCCATGCATCATACCCGAGGCAGTGGGATCTCGACGGCCGCAAGGTTTATGGATCATATGATGTAATATGATGTCATACAAACGGGGCTCCCCATCTGCATCTGGTAAGTCGGCGCATACAGCAGGGTCGATGCTGGCTTCAGTATTTAATTGGTCTTCGAATATAAGGTTCAAGAAAATGTGAGCATGCGGCAAACCTCTATACCTGCGCTGCAGGTTTCTCTCACCGCCAACTAACGTAGAAGGTGGAATAACTATTTTACCAACACGATTATTTTTTCTTCTAGCTCTATCTTGAAGCATTTTTTAACAGTTTCAGATCATGACGACCTCAATCGTTTTTTATTTTGGAGATAAAACCATAAATCATTTGCTTCTACACGGATTCAAGCATCGACGCAATATTATTGAAATCATTTTCCTGCATGATTCAGAGCAATGAAGCCGTTTTGCGCGCTATACGTTTCATGATTAGTATCGATGTTCGAATTGGCTGGCCTCCTCGAACGAATCATCAAACGATGTTTATATAATTGTCTGAAAGTCACGTACATCCGTTTCTTGCGACTCGGTAGATTGTAACCTTCGACATCTTGAATGGAAAATTCTTCTTGAGGATCGTGATCTATATTGTCAACCACATATCTACGTATCGGAATACGTAGACGTTGTTGTTGTTCTTCTTACGAAGTACAACTGGCCTTGGGTTCGAAACGAGTTCGGTGTGCATCTCAATTCCTCTTTCAACTTTGGGAAATAAAATTGGATAAACCATTGGATCAGCTAATGGGTTTTGATTCTTCAATTCGAAAGATTCCCTAGTGTCGTCTCTCTCACGATCATGACCTATAAGATTATAGGAAAATTGAGGTTCTTCTCCAACGAAAAGTGCTACAACTTCGGTGGTGGTAGTTGTTGGAAGATCGTATGTTCTTAGTCGTTCTGCCATCCGATGTTTGAATGCTATAGTCATCATTCAGGGGCATTCCTAGGAAACGCATTCCACGAACAACTTCTGCCATAGTAAAATAAGATCCGATATATGGGTCGACTCTTCTCAAACTAAGTTCACATAAGCTAACAACTTCCTAGTTGATAGCATCTCTGTAGAAATTTGTTTTCCTACACGTAGTGATAAATTTGACCGCAAACATTTAAACGCCAATGGCCTTGCCCAATATTTCTATTTTCTGGAATTTCGCTTTGAAATAGGTCAAAGCGAAAATGTCATTGTTACGATGGACGAATATAAAGTAATATTCACTTGACCAAAATGACAACAAATTTTACGATTTCTTTGGCTCTTTGCTGAAAAATTCTGCCAAACAGAATTTGCATGTGTCGGAGGAAGATCCCAAATGAAAAGTATCAATTTGTTGTGCATGCTCAGTTCGTAGAGCTAAACGAAATGTCACCCTATGTGGTACTTCGGCATGTCTAACTCTTTGATTCATCACATTGAGATTTTGTTGTCCGACAATTATAGGAATAGAAGACATTGATTGGTGTCGTCTTTGTGAACGTGTCAACAATGATGGTGATGCTGATGATGGGGGTGGTGATGATGATTGCAGTAAAATTGATGGGATTGATGACAATGATTATGATGAAGGAAAAAAGATGAAAAAGATGGAACATGAATAGATGATTGGGATGCGTTAGAAGAAGATACCATAACGGGTGCATATACATCATCAGAACGTATCGACACAAACCAACGATTAGTAGGAATTCATTAGACTAGAATAGTGAGAAATCAGAATAGCAAATCATCAGAATCATATTTCAGCGACTGCAATATGTACAACTCGTAATTTGTCGAACCTTACTTTGACAGACTGTATTATGCCAGAATGCATATATCACAATAGTATATACACAGAAGAGTACTTGGAAAAACCAGTAAATAAAATACTGTTCATGTCGTCAGAATCATAAAAATATATAATCGTAATATCATAGAACCGTAAAAGCACAGACTGTAATTCAGCGCCCCGTACTCTGTAGACCACCATTTCATCAGAATGAACATTCCCGATTATCAAAATGGTAGAATGCGAAGAGTTCATATCCGTAACAAGACAGACTGTCGATATTTGATACCCGTAAAATGAAAGATCCGTTCATTGACAGACTCGTAAATGCACAGACTATCAATACTCTAGATCCGTAAAACGCAAGAACCGTACATCGACAGACTCATAATCCATCGGACTACCGAAATTTCTGATCCATAATTCATCAAAACCGTAAAAGAGCAGAATCGTAAAATGACAGACTCGTACAATGCCAGCAGCTACCGGACCCGTAAATTTTCAGAATGTTTCGGATTCAGACCCGTGAAATAGCAGAGCCGTAAAATGGCAGAAATCTACATTGACATACCAGTTGAAGTTCAGAATCGTACATCGACAGACCGTCAATATACCAGAATAAGTGGGACGCGTGGAGATTCGAAACAAGCAGTAGCGAATTGTTGTCAAGTTGAATCGATAGAAATTCCTTGCTATACTCAAATCTGATTCGAATTGTTTTATGAAGAAATCTAGAGGGCTGAAAATGTTCGTACATTGTAGTATTTGTGATTGATAATTTGTTTTATCCGAATCAGGAAGATATTGACATTATAATTTGTTTGTATCTAGATAAAGAAGTATATATAATTCTTTCCGTTGAAAAATTATATGACAAAACATATCAGCCATGTGAATGTAACGATGTTTTCTATGTATAATAGGTAAATCTATTCTCGGAGATTCTCTAAGGCAGAAATGGAATCATTGTATGTCCATTTCTGAACATATAAATATTGAAGATGAACATCAAACTTTCAAACTTTTCTATCTTCCAATGGTATGAGCTTCGGCTCAGATTGTATACCTTCCAATTTGATTCTCCAATCAAATATATCGATTCGACCGTTAGATAATATAAATAAAGAACTTGTAGGATTTGTATATCGCTACTTCGTTTCGGGAAACCAATTCCTCAAGAGTTTTCGGATTTTGTGATTTTTCATTGTTAATTGTACTGAAATTCCTCACATAACTTCAGTTCTAGATTATATACAGGGTGTTCCAAAATTGCTGGGACACACTTGTAGTAGAGGTCAAAATAAGTTGATTGGACCCAATTCATTTATATACCAAAATGTACCGTTTGTCGGTGAGGAGAGTTCAAAGTTCACATAAAGAACACATTTTTGGTCACAGTTCATGAATGAGTGGAACAAATTGAATGAAATTCGACAAAAGTGCATTTTAGTAAATTACTCTCTTCTCAGTGGTGAGAGAAACAAGAAAAAAATTGTGGATAGATTGAAAGTACCCTCACCTCCTGACATTCTCCTCAGCATATAAGGTTGGCAATACAGTTTTCAAATATTTCCAACGAGAAGACAGATCAATTATCTTCATTTTGTTACTCTTGAAAGAACTACCTATTTCCGAAGGGAAAAAATGTTTCATTCGATAATTCCCAGTACAAGTTTAATAACATCGTAATACAAAATTCAGTTGACAGTGGAAACAAAGGCAGAACGTTTTATGTGATGAATTTTCAATATGACGGTCATGAAACAACACCGTGTACATAGCAACATTTTGTTGATCTGTTTCGATATTGAAGAGAGCTGGGAATCAATAAGATGAACTGATTTATACGAGTGTGCAACCAATTCGACAAATATGTAACCGATGTCCTAAAATTTGTTTTTCGAAATGTTCAGCTCGATTTTGATGCATTTTTATTGAACTCAGAATCCGATTTGAATACAAAAAATGAGTCTTCAAATCGTTACTAGATTTGCTAGTTGATTAAATAATTAATTAACAAGCTGGTGATCATGCATGGACTGTCAGAATCTTGAAAGTTTCTGCGCAATGTATTCTTCATCTTAGCTAATGAATAAATAGTGAAGAATGCCATGGCACTCAGGAATATCTGAAAGATTCAACATATTATTTTATGAATCAATAAATCCATCAAAAGTTCACCTTCCGGATTATGAGTTCAATGAAATTGCCTCGAAATCTTGAAAGATTTGGATGTGAGATCATGAAAAGTAGTCAGGTCATTATATTAATTTTTCTCCTGCTCGTTAATCCTGATTGATGATTCTTGAAATAGGTCTTCAAATCAAGATGAACCGCAAAGAATATTTGATACAATTGGCTGCTCAGAAGAAGTTTGCATATGTAGCAGAAAGTGTCAGTGTTACCAATATTCCCAGTACTTCCACTTCTCCTAGTTCTGAGAGGTCCCTATCACCGTTTCCAAGAGAAAATGATCATGAGAGATCATCAAGTGCATCTCCGTTGCATAAAAAGATACTCATCCAATCTAATGTTTTGATACCTAATTTCTCTCAAACAACTATATCAATGAATAGAACTGTTTCACAAGAACAAGAAAAACTCCCTGAGTTTTCAACATTGAGTTTTGGAATCACCTCTGAATTAGGAAATACTGTTGAAAGTTCTACTTACTCCAAAACTTCAGATGAAATCACTCAAGAGAGTTCTTGGATACCAGAAGACGTTCCTAAGAATGCCATATTCCAAGAGCATCTGCAAGAATCATCTGGTGAAAAGAATATAAATAGCCCTATACTTGATTTTGAAACTATTCTGGAGGACAGTCCCTTATCTATGCAAACTAATACTCAGGATGGTAATAATGAAGATAAAAATTAAACTACTCTCAAGAATGCAGTTTTTATCGAAACTCCCGTTCCTATCTATGACTCCATTTTGGAACCTGATATTTACGACGGCCAACAACTTTCTGATTTTAAAGTCTTCCACAGTTCGGGTTCTGAATATATTCCTTCAGATTGTCCTTCAAGTTCTGGTTCGGATATATATCAACCAGAAATATTCGATGTTATGAAAGTTAAGAAAACCTATTAGAAAATGAACCTAATCAAGCAACCAACCAGAGTCAGTATACTGGCAGTTGAAAATGAAGTGAGACACATTTTGAGGAATTATGGTTCTGCCAGTACGTATTGAGAGTTATTTTTTAGATGCCTTTCAAGACGCATGGGAGTGTGAGGAATTCCACTTTGTCGCACTGAAATTTGTTCTGGAAGTACTATTTTTAAATTCATAATGTTGAATGAGGTACTTCACCCCACTAGTTCTTGATATTTTTTTGGCTTTGGTTAGTGACTCAGTAAATGCTCCTTCAATCGATTATTCGGTTTTTCCTTTTCCAGATACATACATTGTCTACCCATTTTCTGTTGAACGTGATGGTATGAGCACACATTTAATTCGATTGATTAGTTCTTTCTCACATCT